TAATAGGTAAAGTAATCCTAATTTAATTTTGTCCACTTTTGATCCCTTTAATCCTTGGCATTCGTGATCTTGACCTTTCATTATTTATCCATGTCTTTTGTGAAATTGTAGATATCTAAAAAAAAATTTCTTTGTTTTAAATTTAAATTTAATTGGGTCTTGACCAGTGATGAAGATAAGATGATCTTATAAGGGCCCTTCCAGCTTCTAAATTCTACATTCTGTTATTTTAAATAAAAGTATTACTTCTCATATTTTATTTGGTATTATTTTAAATATTTTCCAATAAGGAGTGATTTGTTGTTGTTATTTTGTTTGATGCCCTAGACCTAATAATGTTATACCACCTTCCTGTTCCCTTCTGTATGTAGCCTACTCAGCTCGTGGCCCATACTGATCCTCTAGTTTTTAATGAAGATACTTGTGTCTTGCTATTCAATCCCTATGTTGTTAGGAAATTATTAATGATTGCAGGGGATACCTTATATTTTTACCCATTAGCTATTATCACCTATTTGAAGCCCCTCTCAGTTTCATCTAAATAATTTTCAGTTCTATTCTATGCAATCTCAGCCTTATGACCTTCTTATTCATTAGTTGATTTGGTAGCTGAAAGTTCAGGGAAGCTAAGGATATGTGTGCCTGTCTCAGGTCATTGGATCATGATGGGGTTCCCAATATGTGGAGAATTCTTCTGTTTTATTTTCCCCTATTGATGTTAGGTTCCTTGTGACATATTACCTCTCAGAAATCCTATCAGATATTTTATGCCCAGATCTGATCATATCTATGAGTCAACCACTCAGTCAATCAGCATTTACTAAGTACCTGCTATGTGTCAGGCACTGTACTGTTTCTGGGCATTTCAGGTACTTAGCTATTCCTGATTTTATTTTACATAGAATAAAGATCAAACTACTTAGTTGAGCATTCGAGACATTTCATAATCTGGTTCTTCTCTTTCTGTCCTTATCTAATCATAATTGTAATAGCTAATATTTATGTGATACTTTAAGGTTTGCCAATATATATTTTGCATATATTAGTTCATTTTAGCCTTACAACACCTCTTGAAGTAGGTATCATTATTATACCCATTTTACAGGTGGAGAAACTGAGTTGGAGAGCCAGGTTAAGTGATTTTCTCAGAATAAGTGTTTTAGGCTGGATTTGAACTCATCTTTTCTTGACTCCTCTGTACTTTGTATCTCTGCCTCCATATGCTTTCAAGTTATTCCCCTCCATAAAATCTGTGCTCCAGAGAACCCGGACATTGTATGTTATATATTTTCTGTACTTTTCTTGCATTGTTCAGACCAGATTTCTTATTCCTGAAATGTACTTCCTGTCATTCTAATAGGGCAACTAGGTGGCACAGTGGATAGAGTGCCAGGCCTGGAGTCAGGAAGACCTGGGTTCAGATTTGGCCTCAGACACGTGATAGCTGTGTGATGCTACACAAATAATTTAACCCTGTTTGCCTCAGTTTCCTCATCTGTAGAATGAGCTGGAGAAGGAAATGGCAAACCATTCCATATTTTTGCCAAGAAAACCCCAAATGGGGTCACGAAGAGTTGGACACGACTGAAACAACTGAACAGCAATAGGCTCTGTACTAATTTATGCCAAAGTCCCTCCCATTGTTTCTACTCAGCTTAAATACCCCATTGCTATTTGCTCTGTTTTTTTTTTCCCCTTTTTGGTGAGGCAATTGGGATTAAGTGACTTGCCCAGGTTCACACAGCTAGTAAGTGTCAAATGTCTGAGGCTGGATTTGAACTTGGGTTTTCCTGACTCCAAGGCTGCAGCTCTATCCACTGTGCCACCTAGCTGCCCCTAAAAAGGCCTGGAATTTGTTGTTGTTGTTGTTGTGAAGCAAGGTTAAGTGATTTGCCTCGAGTCACACAGCTAGTAAATGTTATGTGTCTGAGGCTGGATTTGAACTCAGGTCCTCCTGACTTCAGGGCCAATGCTCAATCCACTGCACCAGCTAGCTGCCCCACTTGCCCTGATTTTTGTCCCACTTGTACTCAGTTTTTGCTGAGCTGTTTTGGTGCTTTGAAACTTGCTAGTCACCTTGTACCCCTCGTGTACTTTTGTTCTGTTCTGTGTAATTGTTATTTATGTATGTGTGATGCATCTTTGGTGTTGGAATATAAAATGAAGACTGTAACTAAATCTTACTTGTTCTTGTTCTCTCTCCCAGCCCTTAAGCTCAGTGCTTTGCATGGAGTAGATGCTAATAAATGCTTATGGAAATGGAAGTAAGCTAGGATGTGTTTCTTACTATTTTTTTTTCTTTCCTGTATTTCTTTTTTCCTGGTTTGGATGAAAATTCCTTTTCTTTGCAAAATTTCAAAATGCTAAGCTGTAGGCAAACTGTTGGAGAACTTACCTAACACCTTCTGAAATGTTTGTGTATTTTTGTCGGTTAAAAAAAGAACTCCCTAAAATCAGCCAAACTGAGTCAAATTTTTTACTAGGCAGAATCGTGTGTGGGTTTCTTTTCTTTTCTTTTCTTTTTTTTCCTCCCAAGCTGTAACAGGTCTCAAAGGGACTTGTTTGTGCTGATTGATATGCTCTGGAAGGATCTGTTTTGTGAAGTTGGTACTCCATGAGAGTCATGGAGCAGGACAAACTAGCTCATTTAGATTTTGTATTATAAGCTTCACAGGCTACTGCAAACATCCTTTAATGATGGGATCGGTCGTGATTTCCAGTAGAGCTTTTCATTTCGTCTTAATGTCCAAATAACAAGGTTGTCCTTATGATAGTTACTGCTTCATTTTGCTTGATTAGGACTCATCTCAGTGGTGGCAAAATTGAAGTCATGATGTGCATATGGTTCCTTGGAAGTTCATGAGAATTCTGATCTCTGGGTTTCAAAACACTACCCATACTTCAAAGGCCCACTTCAGTTCTCACCATATAAAAACAAAACAAAATGAAACACAGCCTTCCCTAATCCCTGATCATCCCAGTTATTTAAATTTTTTCCTGACTTTGAACTTTTTGTAGTTCTTTAAGTACTATATGCCTAGCATAGACTGAACCTGGAGTTAGGAAGACTTGAGTTCAAATGCAGACACAGATACTTCTTAGCTGTCTAACCTAGGGTGAATAACTTAATCTCTGTGCACTTCTGGTTCCTCATCTGTAAAATGGGAATAATAATAGCATCTACCTCTTACTCAAGGATCATATGAGTTAATATTTGTAAAATGCTTTGTAAACATTAAAGTGACATATAAGTGCTAGCTATCAATATTACGTTCTTATAAGTACTTTGTGTATAATCCTTCTTAATCCATCCTACTACCTGGTAAGTCCTTGGAGGATTCGGACAAAGCCTTCTGCCTAAAATTATCCCCCTTACAGACTATCATGGTAATTAGAATTTTACCATTTTTTGGAATCATTGCTTTGATTCTTGAAGTGTTTTTGGCATTCAAGATTTCTCTTTTCAAATGAAAATGAGAGACAGCTTGCCTTAGAATCTTGATTCTAAGGTTCTGAGAACTTGGCTAAAGCCTTGGTTATCTGTGTAGCATAGAGATTCTTGATCTTTTTTTTTTTCTGGGTCATGGAGCTATTTGACTGTCTAGGGGAGCCTATAGACCCCTTCTCAGAATACTATTTGAAAATACATAAAAGAATACAAAGGAAACCAAGTAAGTGGAAATAAAGATGTCTATTTTCCCATTCAAGTTCACAGACCTACTGAAATCTGTATATGGTCTCCTTGGGGGTTGATGGAATCCAGGTTCTGGGAAGACTGGCTAAAGCTTGGAGCATGAACAATTAGCAAACTAATATATTGAGAGACTTTATCTTTATAATATATTCAAAAGCTAATTATTTGTGTGCTTTAAGGAACATAGAACCCAATTTCATAAAGTTATTGAGCTTGATTAAGTGATATATGTGATACAAATAATCATCCGATAAGAGGCTTTCATAAACAAAACTAAAAAATGGCCATCTTTCTAGTGGAACCCTCAACAAAATCCTTATTGGTAGAGTTGTTAATAGTTGTTTTTGAACTTTAGAAGACTTTCCTTTAACACAGGGCCACTATACAAATAATAAATGTCACTTTTATCAACTCCTGAAATGTGCTAAAATATACTTTGTCCCATGTTCTATTGTGCTTAATTTTTACCAACCTAGAATTCCATGTGTTCCGTTCTCTTAATTGCTATAGTTTTTATAAACCTTAATAATCAGTCTAACATTTTAATATATAGAAGCTGTTAGTCAGCTGTGATTTGACAGTTTAAAATAAGGAAAGTTGGTGATTTAGGGGATTCCTAGAAAAGGTAAGCAAACTAGATATTGGTATTTTGAACAAAGCATTTTGATTGGCATACAGAGCTCCATGCCTTCACACGAACACCCATATTTGAATATTTTTAGAAGATAATCTGTCAAAATTACTGTTATTTTAATTTGCTAAGCTTGGCTGATTGCTGGAGTCGTGTGGTAGTTGAATTCCAGATGAGGATGTATCCTAGCCTGGAACATGCTTTCTGTCCTTTAAAGCCACCTGGATGTATTACACCCTCATTGTGGAGCCTGCCTTGATGAAGCCTCACATCATTTGATTTTGTTTTAGATAAACTTTTTTGTTGTATGAGAAAGAGAATAGATTCTTCCTTCTCCAGATAATTTCTGTAATTTGAAAAGCTTTGCAGAGTCTTTTCCAATAAGGAAAATATCCTTTCAGAGTGGAAGCCTGGGGAGATCTTATATGGCTTACAAGATTCCATACAATTTTCTTTCAGTCTGTGGTTTCAGTTATGATGGTGATGATGAAGAATAACAATAATAATTATTTTAGTGATTTACATACAGTATATTGAGAACTCTTTGGAAGGGGTCATAAGATTCTATGTTATCTGTTTAACGCTATGGTTTCAGTTTTGACAGGTGTATTTGTAACAAAGAAAATATGGTTCTACAGATAACTTTCTTTCTTTCTTTGTTCCTTTTTTGAACAGTTGATAATTTCAGTGACTCAGAAACACAGTCTTCTGAAAACATCTTGTGGTTGTGGCAGCATCTTGCTTACAAAGGAAAGGAAGGTAAGTCAGCTTTTAAATTACAGTAAAGAATTTAATTGCCAGTCCTTCTGAAATAGAAAATGAATGTCATTTGCAACTTTAACGGTAATAATGAAAATAATATTTATCTACTTAGTGTTTTTTCTTCAGAGAATTTTGCATCACAAATATCTTCTTTTTGATTCTTAAACATTTCCATAAGCTGTGTAATATTTCCTTGATTTTACAGATATGCAGCAACTTTTTTAGTCATATAACAATTCAATGGCAAGGACTTGTAGTTTATTGCTTTTCCTTTCTGTATACTGTGTCTTATGTGAAACCCCTGATTGAAGGGGATATTTTTTGTTTATACATAATCTACATTTTATTTATGTGTCTATATGTATAACTATACATACATATATAAAATATTTTACCCTTTTCCCTAGTATTCATTATTCATTTACGGTCTAGTTTCTTAAGCTATTACTTCAGTATATTCCCTTTCTGGATCATTCTTATGTTATTACTCATTTGTCCCTGCTCATTTCCATATCCCTAATTGGACAGAGTAGGACCAGACCTCTGATTTCATTTTTATAGGGAACTCCTAGTGAGGAAACTCCCTCTACCAATACATATTGGCATCGTCTCTGCAATTTACTGTCTTAGAATTGTTTGGGGCACTGAAAAATGGTTCATAAGCCATATGTATCAGTTGAACTTGCGTTTTCCTGGCACTGAGGCCAACTTTCTATCTACTAACCCTCTACATCCCTAATTATTCTAGCACATACTCCTAATAATGTGTGTACATATACCCAATGGCCCCAGTAACCTTTTGTTCATCTTCCTTGGAAGATGTCTATTTAACCATTACAACAGCCCCTCTTTCCATTTTCTTTCCTTCACCAAGGTTGTACCTCTCTGGCTGGTGAGCTAGCTTATTACTTCCACAGAGTATTATCATAAACTTGTTTGGAGAGTGTTAAAAATCTGTTTACTATGTACAGATTACATACATAACTATTCAGAGCTCTCTGGTAGAGTGCTTAATATTTATAGGACACTGAAACATTAAATTATCAATCAGATATTAATCGATATAAATCACATATCTAAACACAAAAAAACTAAAATATTTATTAATAAAATATAAGCCAACATAGTGTATATGAATGAATTAGATATTCTATAATATTCTTATCAAGTTTATTCATAAATCCTTTGTTCTTTGCCCATTTGATCTCTGTTCTGAATTCAGCACCTTTTTGATTATCAATTTCATATTTCAAATACCAAATAATATTTTACTTAAGTTAAAACTCAAACACAATGTGAGTCAATACCTCAAAAATAATGAATCATTTTTTGGCAGTCTGATTGGAAAGAACTTGTTGCATTTCTTACACATATAACCCAAACACTCATATAGAATGCACTGAGAAAATATTTTTTGTTTTAAAGTAAATTAATTATGGTAAAAGTTAATCTCTTATTTATAGAAGATGTGGCAAAGTGGCATACAAATGTCAAATTTCACATAAGTGTTATGTTTTCAGCTATTTCTTTACTTAAATCAGAGAAGTGTTTCTAATTTATGAATCAAAAAAAAGAAAACCATTTAATTTGAGGGTGGAATGGAATGTTTAAATGAATTAGCAAATTAAGTTTATTAATTATTTATTATGTGCAAAGTGTTGTACTAAGCAATGGAGGCAAATACAGAAAATGGAGATTAGATAGTCCCTGCTCCCAGGGAGCTCATGTGCTAATTGGGAAAGATAATGCCTTTAAGAAGGGTTTCTGCTGCAGGGAAGATGAAAAAGGCCTGGAGAGGCTTAGGGTACAGCGGTAGGCAAAGATGGTAAAAGCTTACTAATGTATCATTTTGCTTGGAAGGATTTTACTTGTTGACTCCTTGCTCATCCAAGTGATGTGAATGTCCAAATCCACTTTGTTCTTTAAGTGAGGAAGGAAGGGGCAAGAGGGGTCTGAAATGAAGATATTTTGCAGCTGACTCATTTTAGGGATAAAAAAGGTTGATTTAGTTTATTTAGGGAATTGAGTACTAAACATAATATGACACTTGCAACTGCTCATTGATAAATATAACTTTTTATAAAGCTTTAAAAGAAATTTAGCATTTATTTATTTATTTTGGAAGTGGATTGTTTTAAAATATTCCATGATGATTCCTAGAATATTTGTCCATGGTCCTTCATTGTTTCAGAAAGAGTAGATGAAACATGTTTTTGATATATATGGGCAGACGTTGTTATGTTATTTGAAATTGCCATGCTGTTGAGACAAATTAAAACCTATTTTTACAATTTCTGATAGTAACACTATCTGAGTAACATCACTTAGGTTAAAAATAAAATATGGAATTTTAAGGGTGGGTTTTGAGTCCTAAACAAGTGATTAAGGATCAAATAGGATAAAAAAAATGAGGACTACAGTTCAAGAATACTATAGCCCCTCATCCTTTTTATTCCAGGGCTTAGATGTATGACACTACTTTGTGATCTTTTGAGGGCTGTGGAGAAAGATCACAAACAGTTGAAAAAGGTGTTTTAAGAAAGAAGTGGTACAACCAGAAGAGAGGAAAAATTGGAATTGGCTTTAGAAAGCATTATGAAAGTGTAAGGTTGGTAATGATAATTCACCATTAGCAAAGGTAATGGAGATAGGGAGTAGTTAAATAATGCCTTCCCTCTGATGATTATTTCCATTTTATCTGCTAAATAGCTTGTCTATAACTAGTTGTTTATATGTTTTCTCCTTCGTTGGACTGTGAACTCCTTGAGAAAGGAGCTGTCATTTACCTTTCTTCTTATTCCGATCTGTACTTACTTAGCACAATGCCTGGCACATAGTAGGGGTTGAATAAATGCTTATAGATTGATTGATTGACGGACTGACTGAAATGAGCACTGGACTTGGAGATGGAAGAACTGAGCTTGATTCCTGCCTGGCTTTGTTGCCTACCACTTCTGTGAACTTGGGCAAGTAATATCTGTTTGCCCTAGATTTATGGGGTTATAAGAAATTTTGATTTCCTTTTGTTATTCAGGACGAAGGGGCAATCCTTCTGCAATTTTTGTGGTTAAGCCTGTTTTAATATTAAGCTCCCTTGAACAAAAGCTGTCCCATGGGATATAAAAATTTACTTAAGAGCCATAAACATTCCTTAGATAAGAAGCCTGAGGGATAGGACTTCTTGGCTACATACAAATCCTCCTCCTGAATTAGCCTATTTGTGAATCCTCTAAATGTAGTTTAATCTGTAACCTGACTTAGTTTACCTATGGGGTGTGTTTGAGAAGGTTTGTTTTCTTAGAGAATATATGAGATGATGACCGTGTTTAAGTAAGTTGATTCAACTTTTATGGCATTGAAGGAAGTCTAGAATTCTGGATATATCTATCTTTTCAATTTTTGTGACATAAGAAGAATGTACAAGATTGCAGTGTGTAAAAGAATTACTTCTCTGTCACACTGGCATAATTTTGCCTTATAAGAGGACTTATGAGACTCCTAATAGTGGTTCAGGTTTTCTCTGAGGCCTAAATCTATGCTTGAGTTGTGGGAAATATATATTTGGCAGCAGTTACCCACAACAGCAACTCAGAGAGGAGATATTTCTCCTGTAGCAGTGGGTTAGGACCAAAGGTCATAGACTCATAGATTTCGAGCTGGAAGGGACCTTCAAGGTCATTGAAGCCAAAATAGGTTAACAAGCCAAGGTCACACAGCTAGTGATTGAGGTAGGATGCAAACCTAGGTGTTCTTGACTTCAAGCCCTGTACTTTATATATGAGACCATTCTCTGTAGTGAGTTTTTCTGGTTTCTTTCTTTCCTTAAACTTGAATACCTGTAATAACCCAAGTAGGAGTACATTAGTGTTCATAAGATACTGAAAGTGCAGGAGGAGAACCTTTGGAATAGGCGACAGGGAAGATGTATGGGAAAACGTGGATATAAATTACCTGGAATGCAAAAACATGTCAAGAATAGGCAATTAATTATTCAGTCTTTTTTGTTGTTGTTGTTGCTGCCTAGCTAGCCAATCTCAGTTGAAAGTGAGTGTGTTTGCATAGGTGGTGTGTATATCTCTTTAAAGAATTATTCTAGTATTACTCAGGTCACTGAAAAAAACCACAAACAATACGAACAATTCAATTCCCATTCAGCAAACTTTTATTAAGCACCTATTATGTTCTGGGCAAAGAGGAAAAAAAATCAAACTGCTAGAATAGATAGTGCTTTCCCTCTGAGATCTATAGTCGAATAATGGTGGTGGAAGGCAGTGGGAGTGAAGGAATGAGAGATAGTACACAAATAAGATAAAAAGTTGAAGGAAATGTGATAAGGGAAAAAAAGGGATTGACAAAATGCTGTAAAACAAAAGAGGAATGTCAAATCACTTTGAGCTGGATGATTAAGTAAGGCTTTACCAAGAATTTTGCATCTGAGCTGTGCCTGGTGTGGAAGGATGGGGGAGGGGGAAACAGTGCATTCCCCACATAGAGTGTAGCCACCTTGGGGTGTGGAAGAACAGCACTAGCCTGTAGTAATAACAGCTTGGCTGGAATTGTAGGGTGTTCCAAGGAAATAATGCTGCTAAGATATTTTAGGAGCCTTTTAGGGGAGGACCTTGAACCAGGCTAAAGAATTTGTAGATTATCACATGCAAGTTATTTTGACCATCTTTGCATGAGGAAGCTTGTTTTGGCAGAGACACCTCTTTTTCTTATGCAGCCGGATGCTTAGAAAATACCTCCTTTACCCATTGTATCCTCTTCTTTACCTCCTACCTACTCTTCCTTCAGTCCCTATGACTCAACTGAAACTTTTTCTCCAAGGTTATGATTCCCTCATTCCTAAAACCATTCATTTTTTTTCCTTGTTGATCCTTGTCTTCTCTGCAGCTTTTAACACTATTGACTACCCTCTGTCCAGATAATCTCTTTTGTCTTTTATAATGCCGCCTTCTACTGTCTTACTTTTCTCTCAGTGTCTTTTATGGGGACAT